ATCTTAAATAGAAAGTTTTAAGCATACACCTCTTGAACCTATCAAAAGAGTATCTCTAAAATTTTTTGACAGATTTTTTAGGGATGTGGGAGTGGGGAGTTTGTTTACTAGCATTCCACTGATATGTTTGTCTGTGAATTTTGTACCTGTTCTTTTTATTGAGCCATTTATTAATTCTAGCAACTTTTAAATTAATTCCTAAGGGCTTATTATATTATATATAATATATTTATGCATAAATATATAATTACTTATTGCACATAAATATAATACATTAGAATTATTAATTTATATTTTTATACATATGAATATTTTCATATTTTATGTAATGGATTTTTGTCAGAAATAAAAAATTGATTGTGCTCATTAAATTAAGAGGGGCCTGAATCATTCTGACATTGAAATGGTATAATTAAAGTAGCCTGGTTAAGGCTTACAGACTTCTGCTTTACACGAATAAAAGCATTCCAAGAGGTGATCATCACAGTATGAAATTTTCCAGAAGGCATGATCCCAAACCAGCTATTTACATGTAGGATCAGTTGTATGTACTTTGTTGCTGTTCTGCTACTACAATTAAGCTTTTACCTTTTCTTTACTTTCAAACAGAAAGGCCTGACAAACTATGAAGGGCCTCAGGGTGCCCAGCAACCACACAAATGGTGCCCTCCTGTTGAACTGTACCTTAAGGCAAGAACTGATGCTGAACTAATGAGAGTGTGTCAAGGTATTACCGGTTCAGGTCTCATCACTTCTAATTAGGGCTTCTCGAATTCTGTGAACCTTGCCAGGATTCTGGCTTGGGTCATTTTAATGTGTTTCCATTTTAAAGCCTGGCTGCTAATTTAGATTTTTTTTTTTTTCCTGTAGGATTTCCTGAATCATTATGACTTAAAAGTCATTTATTTTGCCTTTTATAAAGGGAAACTCTTTATTTTGAAATAATTTTAGTCTTACAGAAAAATTGCAAATATTGTACAAAAAAATTCCCATATTCCCTTCACCCACACCCAAATGTTAACATTTTACACATTTGCATTATTATTCTCTTTCTCTCCTATTCTCTATTCTCTGTGTGTGTGTGTGGTGTGTGTGTATATTCACCGACACATATACACATATTATTTTTAACCACTTGAGATTAACTTGCAGATGTGTTGCCTTTTACACCTAAATACTTTAATGTATATTTCCTAAAAGCAACGACACTCTCTTACATAATACTACATAATTATCAACATCAATAGACCTTATTAAAATTTTACACATTGTCCTGACATCATCCTCTATGTAAATAATAAAAGTATTTTCAGGTCTAGAATCCAATTCAGAATCACAAGTTGCATTTAACTTTCATGTCTCCATAGTCCTTAATCTGCTCCTCAGTTTTTGTCTTTTGTGACCTTGACATTTGTGAAGACTATAGGCTAGGTATTTTGTAGAAACTTTCTCTTAATTATAAATCTTCAACTAATTCCAGAGGCATGACTTTTAACTTGCAATTGAACTCTCTGATTATCTTAATTTTTCCATGTCTAATCTGAAAACATTTAGCTCCAACTAATTGTTAAAGAATTCAAACATACAAGGGCAGAAACATGGGAAGGGAATTAACATTTGCTGAGTACTTGAAAAGCCCTTGTACAAGACAGTTGATAAACATTTAATTAGCACATCCTCTTGTAACTTATTATTATTATTACTACTACCCCATTATGCAAATGGGAAAATGGGTGCTCAGAGATTGTGACCTGCCTAAAGCTACACAGTTGGAGATAAGACATTTTGCAATCTAAATACTCCCCTTCAACACACTCCTTCTGAAAGGATCCATGAAATTTACCTTGGCCCTCTCCAACACTTGGCTCCATATAGACTTTGACTTTTGCATGCTCTTCTAGCCTTCCATGGAGCTCACTAATTTAATACGTTTCTTGTCCACTGGACTGGGAGTTAGCTCTTGAGGAGGAAGGACCACAGTTGTTTACTTTTGTAAACCCTGTGCCTAAATCAAAGCCTGGAATTTAAACTGTATTTCTTGAAGGAAAGCATTTGAGAGTGTGAAGTCTAAGGAATAAGCAGTGCATCCTGGGCCTGTGGTCCATATTCGGGACCAAAGCCTCTTCCTGAACTCCAGAACTGTCCCCATGCCCCGTGTACAGCGTGAGCCTCAGTGCCACCCAGGGCACAGGACCCCAGCTGGCTCCCCATGGTGAGCCCCAGCCTGGCACTTTGACACCATTGTTTGAATTTTGAGATTTAAAACATTCAAAAAAATACTCACCTTGTAAACTAGAAAGAAAAGTTGCATCATTTTCAAGAGGTGAAAGAGATCAAGGACCAAGTCTTTCATGATGTTTCTCACTTGTGAAAGTTTGTGAAACAAATAGGAGAAATGTCACCTGCTTCTAGGAAATTTAAGTCTTTTTTTCTTTAATATTTGCTTGTTCTACTTAAGTGTCACCCATGAGAAACTGCTGAGAGCAGGATAATATTGACAGCCACTGAATATGAGTCTGGAACCATAATCCTTAGGTGAATAAATATCAGTAAAAAGGGAAGGTCAGTGGATGCCATCAGATGTGCATATAATTTCTCAATTTTCTCAAACTCTACTGTGCACAATCAACAAAAAACTATTGAAAAAGCTACAATGATAAAAACCAAAACACTGTATTTTGTGTATAAATGGCCCCTAAATGCAAACCAATTCTTTCGTTTGGTGCTCACTTGAAGAGGACTGAGCTGGTTTTGTCACTACGATAAGCAGGACCTCAGTGCTGCTGCACCATCTGAATACACTTTCCTAGTCTGTTTCCTTCTTCATTCTCCCTAGCAACTGCTTCTCACCCTTCCTGTCAAATCTCCAACACCTTTCCTCTCTCTTCACTGTAAGCTGATGAACTTCCTTCTGTTAGCTCAGAAATATTGAAAAGGATTAGAAGAGAACCCCCAACAAGCCCCACTGTTCAGTCCTCCCCCACCATCATCTGTACACATATTCTCTCCCTTCCCTACCTGAAGCTCTGGCCAATCACGTATTGTCAGCTGAGACCACCTCCTCTACTGTGCACCAGATCCTTTCCATTTTCTACTACCCAGGGGCATCACACAAGCAAATGGCCCCCTCCTCCTACATCATCAATATTTACGTCTCTCCAGACTCATTCCAGTAATCACACTTACATACTATAGTACCTCCTACCTTTAAAAGTCCTCTGTTGACTGCACATTCTCGCATTATCTCATTAATTTGCTGTACACTTTTACAATAAACCTTCTCGAAAGAGTCATCTATACTTGATGACTCTCACTTCTCCCCTTCTATCGTCTCTCAAATCTATTCCACAGGACTTTGGTGTTTTCACCCCTGTGCTCCATAGAAATTACTCTTGTCAAGGTTACCAATGACCTCCAGGTGGCTGAATCCAATGTCCCAAGTCCTCATGTAACTTTATCTGTTATTTGGTGTGGTTGTCCCTCTTTGCTTCTGGAAACACTTTGGCACTAGGAAGACATGCTCCTTAAAATATTTTTCTTATTAATATTGTTTTTAATTGTAAAATTATAATTGTATACATTTATGGAGTACAATGTGATCTTTTGATACACGTATACAATGTAGAATGACTAAATTCAGTTAAGTAACATCTGTCACCTCATTTACTTATCATTTTTTATAGTAAGACGTCTGAAATTTACTCTCATAGCTATTTTGAAATATATCATACACTATTATTGGCTATAGTCACCCTGCTGTGCCACAGATCTCAAAAACTTATTCCTCACCCCTGTAATGCTAGCACTTTGGGAGGCTGAGGCAGGCGGATATCTTGAGTTTCGAACTCCTGTTCGAAACCAGTCTGGGCAACATGGCGAAACCCCATTTCTAGTAAAAATAGAAAAATTAGCCAGGTGTGGTGGCAAATACCTGTAGTCCCAGCTACTTGGAAGACTGAGGTGGGAGAATTGCTTGAATCCGGGAGGCGGAGGTTGCGGTGAGTTGAGATCACGCCACTGCACTCCAGCCTGGATGAGGAAGCAAGACTCTATCTCTAAATAAACAAACAAACAAACAAACAAACAAACAAACCAGAAACCAAGAAACAACAACGAAAAACTTATTTGTCTTGCCTAATTGAAATTTTGCTCCTTTTGACCAGTAACTCCCCATTTCCTTTCTTGCTTTCCCTCCCCATCCCTAGTAACCACCATTCTATTCTCTACTTTTATGAATTTGATTTCTTTCGGATTCAATGTATAAGTGAGATCATGCAGTATTTGTCTTTGTGTGCCTCGCTTACTTCGTTTAGCATCATTTCCTTCAGCTTCATTCATGTTGTCATAACACGAAGGAAACACGAATTTCCTTCGTGTTAGAGGCTGAATAGTTTTCCATTGTGTATATATACCATATTTTCTGTATCCATTCATTGATGAACATTTAGTTTGAGTCCATATCATGGCTATTGTGAATAATGCTGCAGTAAACATGAGAGTGCAACTATCTTTTCAACATACGTATTTTAATTCTTTTGACTACATATCAAGAAGCAGAATTGCTGGGTTATATGGTGGTTCTATTTTTAGTCTTTTGAGGCACCTGCATACTATTTTCCATTATGGCTGTACTAATGTACGGTCCTACCAGCAGTGCAAAGGGGTCCCATTTCTCTACATTCTTACCAACACCACAATAAACTCACATATTTACAGTCAATTGATTTTTGACAAAGGTGCCAAGAGCATACAATGGGGAAAGGGCAGTCTCTTCAAAAAATGGTGCTGGGAAAATCAGATATCCACATTCAGAAGAATAAAATTGGATATCCATCTCATATCATATTAAAAAAAAATCTCAAAATTGATTGAAGACTTAAATAGTAGACCTGAAACTGTAAAACTACTAAAAGAATATATAGGGGGAAGCTTCACAACAATGCTCGGGGCAATAATATTTTAGATAGGATCCCAAAAGCACAGGCAACAAAAGCAAAAATAGACAAATGGGATTTCATTAAACTAAAACGCTTCAGCACAGCAAAGGAAACAATTAACAAAATGAAAAGATAACTCAAGGAGTGGAAGAAAATATCTGCAAACCATATGATATAGTTTGGATATTTGTCCCTTCCGAATCTCATGTTGAAATGTCATCCCCAGTGTTGGAGGTGGGAGATAGCGGTGTTTGTGTCATGAGGATGGATCCCTTGTAAATGGCTTCATGCCCTCGCTACAGAAATAAGTGAGTTCTCACTCTATTAGTTCACATGGGAGCTGATTGTTTAAAACAGCATGGTGTCTCTCTTACTTCCACTCTTGCTATGTGATGTGCCTGCTCCCGCTTTGCCTTCCATCGTGAGTAAAAGCTTCCTGAGTCCTTTCCAAAAGTTGAGCAGGTACTGGCACGATGCTGCTTGTACACCCTGCAGAATCATGAGTCAAATAATCGACTGTGTTTTCTTCATAAATTACCCAGCCTTGAGTATTCCTTTATAGCAATGCAAAACCGACTAACACACCATACATCTGATAAGGGATTAACATTCAAAATATATAAGGACCCAAACAGGTCAATAAGAAAATCAATAACCCAATTAAAAAATGAGCAAAGGACCTGCGCAGACATTTCTCAAAAGAAAGCATAAAAAAAGCCAATAGGTTCATGAAAAACTGCTCAAAATCACTAATTATTAGTGAAATGCAAATTAAAATCACAATGAGATATCATCTCACACTGTTAGAATGGAAGACACACTCTTTTTATTCTCTTCTGATCTCACTAACTGCTAGATTTACTCTTAGTTGGTTTACCAAGCAGGAAATTTCATCCAGTTTGAGGTGGTAGGGTCATAATACAGGTAGTTTTTAAGACATCTTTCAAGTTATTACTGAAAGTCAAATGGACCAACCAGCATAGTGAAAGGACAAAATATGCATGAAAATCATCCTCAAGAAAACTGGATGACAGAAAATCTTCCCAAATCACAGAATTCAGGCATATCAGGCAAACGCCTACCAGCAACAGGACTGGTGAGGGATCAGCAGTTGTGTAGTGCAAGTGATAGAACAATGAAAAGCAGCCAGGCGCGGTGACTCACGCCTGTAATCCCAGCAATTTGGGATACCGAGGCAGGTGGATCACTTGAGGTCAGGAGTTCGAGACCAGCCTGTCCAACATGGTAAAACCCCCGTCTCTACTAAAAATACAAAAATTAGTTGGATGTGGTGGTAAGTGCCTGTAATCCCAGCTACTGGGAGGCTGAGGCACGAGAATCACTTGGACCCGGGAGGTGGAGGTTTCAGTGAGCCGAGATCGCACCACTGCACTCCAGCCTAGGTGACAGAGTGTGACTCCCTGCCGCAAAAAAAAAAAAAAAAAAAGAGAGAGAGAGAGAAAGAAAAATGAAACACAAACCTAACAAGCCCTACAAGTTGTAAAATTGAAATATCACTAAAACCAATGAAACAAACCCACACATATTCCCAAACATAGAAGAGCCACCCTGAGTGGAACCCAAGTACATGGATATGAGAACAACTAGTGAATAGAAGTCCTCACATGGTCCCAAGTTGCAAGTGAGTACAGAAAACTGTGTGCAACTGGGGAGAATCATAGAAATCACACTGAACTGAACAGGAGCCCTGAGGCAAAGAGAGATAAGGTTCAGGGAGTGGCTGCTGGGTGGGAGAGGAAGTCAGGGAAAGTGGACTCCAGAAGGTGCTATCAAAACTGAGTGCAAACAGCGTCACAGGCAGAAAACCTTCCTGAACCATCCTCATTCTTCCATTTTTATTTTTTAAAAATTCTACCACCTTGTTGGAGAAATTACAGCAGTTTTCTTGTGGAATGCTTCCCGACTCTGATTTTGTTTGCTCTCTCATAGTTTCATTTTACTTTTCCTCTGCTAACTACATTTTCTGTAAACCAGAATTTAGCTCTCCATGTTGCATTGGAAGCAGGTTTGATTCTTTGGCAGAAATACTATGCATTAGTGCTGGATGAGTATAGCATCCTGCATCACATCAGAAGGGACCTAAGGTATGATTTCCCACTTTGAATGGTGGGAAGACTGATCAGTACTTCCAGGGGTGACAGCTTGATTTTTCCACCGTGAAGATCTGGTCTTAGTCTGTTTGACATGCTATAACAAAATACCACAGAGACTGGGTGATTTATAAAGAAATTTATTTCTCATAGTTCTGGAGGCTGGAAAGTCCAAGATGAGAGTCCTGGCAGGTCCAGTGTCTGGTGAGGGCCTTATTACTGCATCGTCACATGTCAGAAACGCATAAGGGCAAAAAAGGACTGGGTGAAGCCTCTTCGATAAAGGCCTTGATCCCGTTCACCAGGGCTTTACCCTAATGATATAATCACTTCCTAAAGGCCCCACCCTTTAATACAGTCACATGGGTGATTAGGTTTTAACACCTGAATTTTGAGGGATAGTCACACCATAACAGACCTCTGTCAACTAACTCATTTGACTGGTGACCATGGGATTCTGGTGACCACAGAATCCAGCCACTTCTACACACTCTTGCCACCACACATGTTGCGGAAGCCACCACAAACTCTCACCGGAAGTATTGCCACAGTCTACTCACCTGTTGCCCGATTTTCTTTCCTTTCTTCTTTTCTCCCTGCATTCCCTGGGCAGCTGCGTCACCCTCAACAGGTTAGGTGGCCATTTCTTTGGCAGATGAAAAAACAAACAAACAAACAAACAAACAAACAAAACCCACCTGTCTGGGGCCGCAGCCATGTACAGAGTGAGTCTGTGATCTGTTGCCTGTTGCCTGTTCCTGTGATTGCTCCCCAATAATCTCTTCTCAATAAAGGAGTCAGGGAGATCCTTCAAAAACCCGGGTCCCATCATGTTACTCCTCTGTGCCAAACTCTCCAACAGATTCCTAACTCACTCACAGTAACAGTGGACTGCATGGCCTCTGAGGCCTCTGAGGCCTCTGAGGCCTCAGTGATCTGGCCCCTGCTACCACTTTCAGCTCATCTCCGGCCACCTTGCCCTTCCTCACTCCATGCCCACTTCCTGGCCTTCCTTCCAGTCTTTACTTAAACATCACTTTCCCAATGAGGCCTTTCCTGACCACCCTCCTGCAACTACTCTTATCTTGGCCCTATGGCTCCCTTCCTCTGCTTTATTTGTCTCCACTGCACATAAAACGATCTGAAGTAGTTTTATTTACTTGCTCACATAATTATTTTCTGCCACCTTACCTAGAATGTAATTTATATGAAGACTGGGACTTTATTTTGTCCCCCATCACTGCCTGTGATGAAGAACTCTGCATTCAATGCCAGAGAAACTCCTGACCTGGCTGAATGTGAGTGGACAATCAGGTTTGTGGATTCTGCACTTGAGGGGTGAATTACAGCATATATAATGGAAATTTTGACTACATTTAGCTTTTGCTTTATGCACTCATTTTACAACTTAACCCTCTAACTAATATTTGACACCATTATAGACGACAGTGTCCATATGGCCTCTTTCATAAAATAGATGACAAGAACTTGGAGACACAAGGGGGTATAAAGCCTCTGACTACAAACAGCAAATGAATGCTAATGTCAATGGCCCTAAACATGAAATATACTGGATAAAATGTACTGGGCTCATAGTCTCAATTTTAATTCAACCCAAATAACATGAGGCTTTCTTGCTTCCAACTCAAACCTCATGTCAACCCAGTACCATACACAGAAAAACCCATAAATCTGACTCCAAAAATCCCTCAGGAGTAATACAAGTCTTTAGTTGCAGTTTTCATTTTTATGAGATTCTGGAGGAGGGGGCTATTGCATTGTCAAAAATATGCTAAGATTTTGTAACACACTCACCAACCATTGTTCCTCCTCCTCCTCTTTTTTATTTTTTTTTAAGAAAAGAGCTCATTTACTTGGTAAATTGAAAACTAATAATAGCCTTAATTAAGCACTTTACTTCTCCCGCTATAGAGCAAAGTAAGAACAAATGAAAGCATGGCAATCCCTAATGCTAAGTGAATTATCTAGAATGATATAATTTACAGTTAGCGGATCTGAACACTGACTCTGAAAACCCAGGCTCTTCTCACTCCATTACTCCTCACTACTACCAAGGTGACCCTCAAGTGAATCATGAGTTCCAAATCCTCTTAATTTGTTTTTCTTTATCACTTTTATTTAGGTGCCTTGTGTATTATTGACCTTTTCGCCTTTTAATTAAAACAAGCCCGCCCAATTTTTTTTT